TAATAAATATAGGTACTATAATGTTGATTTTAAACTTAAATGGAATTACTAAAATATGTACATATGATAGGTTTTAATTTTTTGACTAAACATCAAATATTTTTACTTTCTGGAATAGAACAATTTTATTGTTAATATTTAAAATAGAAAACTAACTACAGAAAAGCGAAAAAACGCTTTAGATTTTTTATAAAAAAGATTCTACTTCTACCCACCAACAACCCAAACAATATGCTCCACTTAGAAACAGGTAACTACAAACGCAGTTTGCAGATACAGTGCAAACTCATTTCGTTTATCTAAGAAAAATTCTTAATCTCCCTTTATTAAAACTTCCTCGAGTACTAGCTAATACTAACTAAACTTATAATTGACGAAGGCATATATTGGGCCAAAGATTGGGAAAATATGTATTTGGAACTAGGTCTTTCAGTATTCGGTAATAATCAGTAATCAGAGTATGGATCTAAAATTATTACACAATAATATATAACTTCATGCATACGGAGTGAACGTGATTCGTTTGTCGCGAATGCTAGGTCGGGATCTCATAAAATATACCCACAACTGCAATATATGACATTATGCATAGTTTTTATTAGGAAAACATTTAGCACAGATGGAACATACTTTTTAAATGTAGGGGCTTTTTTAAATGTTTAATTTAAATACCAGAGAATTTAATATATCTGAATGTGATTGTTCTTTGTGTAATCGACCAGTAATAGAAAATAAATACATGTCATATTAGTGGAATATGTTCAATATTTTCAGAGAACCCAGACATCTTATTTTCAATAAAGCACTTCTGTCCAAAGAATAACTTCTTCTTCGTCTTGTTAAATAGTAGCAATACTAATAACCAATAAAAATTTATAAAAAGTGTTTTTTTCAAGTTATAGAAAATACAATATTAAATAATTTATATAAATAACAATGTTAATAATATACACCCCTTTTTGTATACCAATCTGACACACAACAAATATGTTATTGTCGATTTAGACTTTAAGTAAAATTTTATAATTTTTTTGAATCAATAATAAATAATAATAATAATAATAACTACAAAAAATCTTTAATATTGATAATATTTTTGAAGAGATTTACTAATAAAATTTTAATTAATACGATGAATAAACGATAGAAATACATAGGTGGGCAATTTACATCCCATAATGAATTACTGAGTCAAAGTGCAATACTACAATTAATACTACAATTAATTAAAAAAATACGACTATGAAGGTACTACTAAAATTTAGGAGATACAAAGTCTAAGTTGAATACTGCAAACAATAAAGGAATTTAGACTAAGAAGATATTACTCAAATTAACTAATTAAGATTAAGAATAACTTATATCCCACTATTAATTAAGACTTCCTGAATCTAGGACCAATGCTACAATTTATTAAATAAATTGGACTAAAAAGATAGTTTAAATCCTAGAAGGATGTAGCAAATTTATTAAGGGGTATATTAATCCTTAATAATAAGTTTACTATTACTATTGTCAATTACCATAGAAATCATAAAATATACAACGAAGCAAATTAATCACACTATTTGATATCTATCAGGGGAGGGTAAAAAAGATACAGATGAAAGTTAAAACACATTAAGTTTCCAAAATTTAAATTATATATTTGAAGATATATAGTGTTATTTATAATATGTAAATATTTTTTTATTTTAAAATAAACATTTATTTAAAAACTCAAAGAATGGAAAGAGTCAATTAATTGTTTCGGATGCCATTCGTTATTAATACTACAGTGTGTTTAGGATATTGAAATACTTAAGTGAAAAAGATATTCAGTAATATAACTAATCAGACTGACGACCAAATTAAATTATCAAAAACCTTTATGTAAAATATATACACAATATGTTTATTAATTACTTAAAAAAACCTAAATAAATACTCCTAACAAACACTAACTTGATTTCTTTAATAAAAATTATTTATCTTACAAATACCAAAGTGGCTATAATCAGTCGCAAAGAAGCTGCATGACAATTGAGTTTTGAATAGAAGTATTTAGGGTTCTTCAGTATGCAATTAAAAGAATAAATAAATAAGCGCGACTCAGCAATGCAAACAATAGGCAGATTATGGGATTATAACTGACTTGGAAATAATAGTAAATAAAATGGCCATTAGACGAGGATATAGAATTTTTTGAAATTCTGTTGATTCTTTTTGAAAATGCAATAAAATTACATATAATATCACTTTTTTAATCTGATATATTCATATAAAAGAATTTGTTGGAAAGAGTAGTAGAATGTTTTTAAAAAAATTGGTTCAAATAAAACAAAAATAAAATAAATACTCAAAGCTCATAAAAGAATTTTTAACAGATTAATATCCCAAATTATTATCCAAAACAAGAATACAAGATTGAGTACAAGTTTATGTAGTACATCTTTATATTCAATTTAAATCAAAGAATAAAGATGAATTTGAAAGGGTCCCAAACTATTACAAAAGAAAACAATATAAACAATATATGTAAATAATAATGATACGTTTTTCCGGCAGGAATCACATAAAGTTTATATGCTTCCATGTGGAATTAAAATCTTTGACTTATATTTCCGTTTACTCTCTGTCATTTCACGGTTAAGTTAGTCGTATTTTACAGTTGAGAAAATTTTCTTTTAAAAAATATGTTTGAATAGATTTAGAGTTTGCTTAGACCGATAAATACCAATACCCAGGACGTTCGAAAAGTTTTTTGGTCAGTGAAACATTTCTCTGATATTATGAATAACGGTTTAGAATGCAATTCTACAAATATCAAAATTATTTTTAATAATATACTTCATTGACCGATTTCAAATGCTTGTGAAATTTTTAATAAAAAACACATCACTGTAAATTAAAATCGAATTAGTTAAAATTTATTTAGACTTTGTGCCAATGCAAAATATGTTATGTAATGGTAAAAACATGTCACCATTGAAAAAGATCAAATGAGTATCAGTTTTTTTTGCGGTAGGTGAAAAGCATCAAGAGCCAATGTATTGGATAGTTTTCTGAAGCAGTAGCTTTATCTTTAATCTTTCACCAAAATCAGTTTCGTTTGTATATATTTCAGTTTGTTAGAACGGTTTACGCAAAACAAGGTAACAGATTCGTAATTATTGATGAAACCGACCACAACACTTGAAAAACCAAAGAATAATTAAAACAGTAGATTAAAGTAGCGATTCACATCCAATTAGGATGTGGATAAGTAATGATAGTGTGAAAGAGAAGGCGATTATATAAGAGTAAGAATAAATCAATAATGAGTAGGATATAAATTGAACCAGGATCGTGTGTGCAGGAAAAGAGATGGGTTGCATTAGATAGGAAATTGCCGCAATTATATTGGTTATACTCTTTTGCATGAAACATTTCAAATTCCTTAATGAGATGGTCAACAGCGACTTCCGATTTCACCCGATCGCAATAGGTAAAATCTTGTGCTGACAGGATTGAATGATATTTTATTACGTCTCAAAGAGTTGCGCTTACTAGAGCTACATCTGCCACAATAGATTGTCCATTAAACTTTCTTCATCTTTATCCCATGAAAAATCTACGATGACATCGGTCTACGATCGGATAAGTGGCATAATTAAGTAATTAATTAAAAATATTCCATGGATTAGTTCATACTTCGGAAATTGTCTAATTTACAACTTACGTTTCAATTTCACAACTTTTCCCACTATTTACAAAACCGGACTAAGTAAGTAAGTTTTGTTCGGTGGGAAAAGTGTATCAAGTTTAAAAGAGATTTTGTCAATTAAACAATAACAATAAATATGAAAACGCTCCTTTTTATATTGAAGGCAAAACTTTCAAAACACCCTTCGTATATACATATAGCCCTTACTAATTTTTGTATCCTGTTTGAGTTAGAAGAATATTTAAGAATACAAAAGTATTGAGTAACTGTTAAGCTCAAAAACAAATTTGTCCACTCAAGAACTTTATTATTGACACATTTTAAAGTAAATAAAATCAAAATAAATAAAACTTTTCGGACCACATTTAACTCTAAACTGCTACTTCAGAGGAGGACTTGGGTTTAATAAATAGTCTAAATTGTGATTTTTATTTCTGCCAGATTAACTTATTTACACAGAAGCTGACACCGAAATCTCATGCCTTCAAGTGAAGCCAAAGGCAAAAGCGATAACGTCGCTATTAAAACACTGAGGAGGGTGAGCTTTGTTTTTTATATATCCGGTAATATATTTTGTGTATATTTTTAGAAATACATTCTCTCTATATGCTGATTTCGAAAATATTTATGAAACATTAAAATGTAATATACATATTTATGTTCATAATTTCAAGAGTACATACATCAAGTGACCGGCACGTCTTTAGTTATAATTATATATTCATTCACACATACACACACGTATCCATAAAAACGTATACATGCATACATCAATACATTTTATAAATATTTTTCATTCAAAGCAAGTGGAAACTAAAATAAAAATAAGAATAAAAATAAAAATTCAATAAAAAGTGAAAAGAAACAGTAATTTGAGTAGAGAACTACCAATCAGAATGCAGTGGAATATCAGGCACAGCATACGAAAACCCGTACTGTACCGCCTAAAGCTAAACCAGATGGTCACTTTATGAATGAGTAGTTATAAATTAAAGAATTTCCTTTTAACTTCATGGTCTAACGTTTTTCATCAAAAGAAAACAAACATAAATTTCTTGTATTAGAAAAAAAAAATCAAAAAAAAAAAGTTATCTGAAAAGAAAAGTTAAATTGGACAAAGACCATATATCGACAACAACAACAACAAAAAAAAGCTTAAAGAAAACGGTGAAAATGTGTTGTCCCTCATTTATATGCAAAAGTCTATTTGCGAAGAACACGACACAAAAGCGAAAATATAATACAAACAGACATAAGGGGGAAAACACATAGAGCACATATGTATGCAAAAGTAAGAAAATTCAATGTTACTTACCCCCAACTGAAAAATTTGCATTTCTTCCACTATATGTTCCATATTAAACAGCTCTTGGCGGGTAGTAGCGATGCTATTTGCATGCGAGGAGGAGCATGTTGTTGTTGCTGTTTTTATTGTTGTTGTTGATGCCGTTGATGCCGCGGTTGAGTTCGAAACGTTATTAATAGTAGCGGCAGCGGCAGCAGCAGCAGCAGTAGCAGCGGCAAGAGTAGAAGCATCACCATCAGTTGAACTGGTTGACGTTTTTGTAGTGGTAGTTTTTGAAATATCGCTGGAGGTAGTTTTAGCTGGTGTTACGACTGTTGTGTTTTTATTAGCGATTTTATTAATATTTGGAAAGAGATAATGTAGCTCTTGATTCGGTTTGCCGCAGTTTCGACATAAATCCAATATGTTAAAATCACAATCATACGTAGTAGCAACAGCAACAACAGCAGCAGAAGTAGTAGTAGCAACATTGGTGGTGGAGATGGTGTCGATGATGATATTCGTTGTTGAGTTTGTAATTGAGCATGCATTGCTATTGTTGTTATTTGTTGTGCTTCTGTTCTTCTTTTTGTTATATGTTTCTGTTGTTGTTGCTGATGTTGATGCTGATGCTGTTGGCGATGAAGATGGCGCTGCTTTTGCTTCTGATGCTGCTTCAGCCAACGCTGCTGTTGATTCAGTATTTGCTTGGACTACTGCTGACACTTCACACACCATATCACCCATATCCATTTTTCTTACTTTGTTGACAGCAGCAAGCTGCGGTGAAGAATAAAACGGAGACCTTTTGTAATGTTGCTGCTGTTGTTTGTTTATACGTATTCTTATGTTGATGCTTGTCTTATTTTACTTGAAAATATTCTTTTTTTTTTTTGCTTAATTCTTCTCGTGTGTACTTCTCATATGTGTGCTCCTTATTTATATAAATAAATATACGATTTGCTAGCGAACTAAAAAACAGTGTCTTTTTTCTCAGAGAGCAAAATTACAAAATTACATACAAAACAATGACAACAACAAATCATTGGAGATAGTAGTAACGCACTTTACGTGCTATGCTGTTGTTTATGTTATTTGTTTTTTTTTTGTGTTGAGTTGAGTTAAAAATTGCGATATATAATTTTTTAATTAAAATATTTTCATTTCATTACAATTTTTTTTAGTGCAATATATTTTATTTCAGCAAATTATGCTTAATTAATTTTTTTTTTTTCTGATTTTAAACGATTTTAATTTATTGTATATCCAATTGGATGCATCATTTACTGCCATTTCCAAATATATTTGACGTCCATGACGTTATGACAACTGGCGATCAAGGCCTAGAGAAAATAATTTTTACTTATTAATAGAATTTTAACAATAAGATTTTATTTGTAATTTAAAATTCCATATAAATAAACAGTGACAATAAAAATTAAAACAAAACAAAACAAAGTTTGTAAATATTTTGTAAAGGGGACACTTTTTGCCATATAAAGCGCGCAGCGAGCTGCAATAAATAATTTTCAATTATTGGCGCGCCCACTTATGTATTTAATGACGTTTTATCGTATGTATTCTCGTACATACTATCTATCTATCTATCTATCATGTCATGTTAGTTTAAAAACTATACCCTATCCACCCTAGACACTCTTCTGCAAATTGCACACCCATAATACAAAACTCTTCAACGTACAACAACAAAAAAAAAACCGCAAAACGAAATCCAACAGCGCATAGATTTCAAATTCTTTTTTCTTCTTGTTGTCGTTTGGTTTTTGTTTTTGTTTTATTTGAATTTCAGTTTTATTATGAGCACTCACGATATGCCATTTCCTCCACATCAAACAAATGTGTCATACAGCAACGTTGTGCGTACCTAATTTTTTTATTAAAGAAATCAGAACTAATTTTATTATTATTACTTTAAAAAAATGTATTTGTTTCTTTTTTAATATTTTTAATTTTATTTATGTAAAACTATTCTCACTTTTATATTTTTTTTTAAACTTAAAATTATTATTTTTATCATTCGCATTCGCATTCGAATTCACATGTTGAAATGATTAATCCTTTTCTACACTCTGAAGTGTTAAATAAGCGAGCAAACGGTAACTGTTTTTTCCACAAAGTGCCGACAAATTACCGCACACACGCACTCGCCGAAACAACCACACTGTAAGCACGTTGATTTTCGACTGGCACAGTACAAGAAAATTTGAAAACAAATTTCCGCCAGACTAGTGGATATGTAGACTTTGTTGTTATTGTTGTTGTTATTATTGGTATCGCTGGCATTGCTAGCATTGCTGTTATTGTCTTGTTGTTGTTGTCTTTCATTGTTACCGATTTTTAATTTTCTCACTCTCTTTGCTGTAGGTAGCGGTAAGATTTTTGAAAGTGACAACACACACGCACACACACATACATACACAATTCTTATGAGAATAACAATCGTAACCAAATCAGCCCCATTGCAGGAAATCATTCCGTGAAATCGTTAAGGTATGCAAAGTACGTGTAAATGCCAAATTATTTTTATTTCTTTCGTCGTTTTATTTATTTGTACATACATTTTAAATTGCCGTGATATGCAGAAAATATCACTAGCAGTGAATAAAGAAAATCGTTATTATCATTAACGATAATTGCAAGCAAGCCAGCGAGCCAACAAGCCAAAGAGCATCAGTAACTAACTGGCCACAGATATGCAAAGTGCATTTACTTACATGTGACATTCAAGTGCGCAAACTCGATTTTATAGAGACGACACACCGATAACGAATGCTCGTCCGTGCATGTGGTGTATCCAGAAAAATTTAGATATTTCGAAATTCAAATGCTCATTCTAGAAATGCAACCAACTATTACTTTACTCTACTGATAAGGGTCAACGTACAAAGTGTACGGCATTTATTTAAACCCGAGTAAAATTACAATTACAAGTACAATTATAAAAAAAGCAGCAGCAGCAGCAGCAGTAGAAACAGAAGCATAGCTTTACGCCATTTAAGTTGGCTGTGGCTACTTTTAGAATTGATGACCCTGTGTGTGCTACACAAATGTTAATATGTATTATCTTATTTTTAGAGAAAAAAACAAAATACATGTGAACGGGCATTTGCTTTTTATGAACAAATTAAAAAAGAAAAATTAATAACTAAACGTTAAACGCTAAACGTAAGTCTATTGTAAAAAATGTGAAAAAAAATTAGAACAGGAAAATAATAAATTATTTTGTGTTAAACACAAGCCAGCGAAGATAGAGGCGGGCAATGAGCGTGTAATGAGTCTTGGTGACGATTGAAAAGCTTTCGTCAACTTTTGTGCAACCCGCATTCGATTTACGGGAACATGGCCAAGATGACAGCTGTAGATAGAAAAGTTATTTTTGGATAAATTATGTTGTCTATTGGGATTAGCAGCTGTGTTCAGCGATGTTAATTGTAATGTTGTCTTGTAATATTTGAAAAAAAAAACGTTGAATAAACACTGTTAATTGCTGTTCAATTCAAGGTTAATCTACATATGCTGGTCATCTCTACAAGTCTTCGCACCGTGTTTGGAATAAAAAATTATTTGTTTTGTCATTTTCTATATTTTAGTATTTGAACACTTAACTATTTTTATCAACATAGAATAAAAAAATAAAAATGTTAATTTTGTAAAGGTGTATTTTCTCAAGATCGCAACTCTGTACTTATTATAATATTCAAAGATGGGGGCATAAAATGAAAACACTAGTCAACTGTTGTTAGTCAAGAAAATGTTTTCAAATAAAAAAAAGACTTTTTATAAAAATAAAAAAAACCATATCACTAAGACACGCTGGATAAACAAGCTAGGTTAGGTAGCGGCAATTTATCCAAACCCTATTTAAACTCAAATAATGACCCGTTGTGATACCACGATTACCGTTGTTCATACAACAGTTAGTGTAAACTAACCTGACAAATCTATAAACTTGACCAAATCTCTAATTTTGTTAGATGACAGCTCTGTTAGATCGGTAAGCAAAAGGATCGCAACGATTTTAAATCTTCTCCTACACGATGATGGACACTGGTACATAAAGTACAGTACAAATTCCTCCTTACCCGTACAGCCATTCAGGTAAACGTGTGAACTAACCTGACAAATCTATAAACTTGACCAAATCCCTAATTTTGTTAAATGACAGCTCTGTTAGGTCGGTAAGCAAAAGGGCCTAAAAAATTTTAAATTTTCTCCTACACAATGATGGACACTCACACATGAGGTAGAGTACAAATTCCTTCTCATCTGCAAAGCCAAAACCCTTGTTTGAAAGACTGAACGCTTTCAGTTTAATTAGGGTCAGTTGTTAGCAACCCCAGAAATTTATTAACCTCAATTCTATTATAGTCTAACGTTCTCAAATCAAACCTGTATATTGACGTTCATAAGCCAAAAAAAGAAATAATTTTTTTTAAATTCTAAAATATTCAATATTTAAATATTGACGTTCATAAGCAAAAAAAAAACTATTAACAAGATATGAAATATACTTTCTTATCAAACAATACTTTCTAATAATTCACTTTCAAGGTTTTTTTATATTATTTGTTTGAAAAAAAAAAAAGAAACACTTGGAAATATTATTTTCAGTTCAGACGCAAGATTTTATACAAGTTCATAATGAATCAAAGAATCGAAGATTAATTTCAAATACATAAATATGTATATATAACAAATACATATATACGTAAAAGTTATTTCAATTTTTTTTCCTTTTATTTAAATTACTTTGTCTTATTTTTACTACACAGCAATATTTACTAAAAAAATACAAATTACTTATAGCTATGAGTATATATATATATATATATAGACATCACTTCATAGACAACAGATAGTTGGTGCTAATTTATTACATTTCATTTTCAAGCATTTCAAGTGAAAAAAACGATTTTGTTATTGGTTTAATGAGTAAACAAAGTTAATTGTTGTTTGGTACACTGCTCTTCTTTTCTCATGCTACGTACAAACACGACCCCGCTGATCTTCGTTCCGCTATTCATTTTTAAAGCGCCACCTAACGAGCGGGCAACAATTTACTTTCAACAAAGCATCTATGTGTATACAATTAAACCTTAAGAAAGTGAAAGAAGGCAATATGAAACAAGCATAACAAAAAAGTTCATTATTTAAATTTTAATACCCTGCATACTAATATAGGTACATAAATAAAGGGTATATAAACTTTTTCAATATGCTTGCAAGATCACAGACCATATGTGGAAGAGCTATAAATGATACACATTTGATCTGAATAATAAGATAAATTTAGTTACAGCTCTGCTGATCGTTTAAGGTCTAAAAAGTATATCTACTGTATTACTAGAGTATATATTATGCATATTAGGTGGGAAACTGCTTTGACGTTTTAATAAAACAGGTAATGTCTTTAATAAAAATATTGATAATAACTGAAGATACTTCTGGAAGACCAAAGTTTAATTATACGCTTTGACGTTTTAATAATACAGATAATGTCGGATTAGATGTTTGATATATTCATCTGAACCATAGCTACAATGTTAATTGCTGGAAGGATCGCCTAACCTGTCGGCATGTTTGACATTAAGTTAATATCCTAACAGTATGACAACTGTAGTGAACAGTAAGGGGCAAACAAGATTCCTTTGTTCTTTTTTTTTCTTGTAAAGGCGGACCATGTGTTATATGTAGTATTTGACAAAGATTTAATTCGTGTCATCCTTTATTTTAACTCTTTTAAAGTATTCTCTACATATAGTCAATTTAACCTAAGTATTGAACCTAATACGTTTGTTATTGTAAAAATTCTTGTTAGGGAATGTAATGTGCCACTAAAAACCAGTGTTTTGACTGTAAAATAGCTAGTTCTGTTCCTATAACCCAATACCAACCTTAGTTTAACCGAGGAATGCACCAGAATCTCATTCAAAAATATAAAACAGAAAATAAGTTCGCTGACCATATAATGTTAATGGAAGTAATTAATAGCAAAACTTTGATTTTTGATAAAAATCAAAAAGTGAAGGGTATTGAAGCTTCCAGAAAGGGGAAGCCAACTTTTTGTTTAGTTTTTTTTTTTATTTCGCACAACATTTCTTTTTCATAATGTTTATAAAAAAATACACAAATTACTTGTAGTAAATATTTAAAAAAAAAAAAGTTTCATTATAACAATTTTTTTTTTATTATTTTCTGAATCACAGTACAAAAAGACAAAATATTTCGTGACGGTTTCTTTCACAAACTATTTGCCAATATGTTAAACTATATTTAAATTTTTTAAAGCGGATTTAAAATTTTCATACAAATAATTTATTGTTGAAAGTTTTGTCGTCACGTTTAAATCAAAAACAAATACAAAAATTTTAAAAATTTAAATTATAATTAATGCAAAAAAAACCATGAATACTCAAATTATAAATATTTTCTAGACGCTAGTAGAAACGCTGAAGATAGAATCTTCGTATTTATAAAAATTATAAAAAACAATTATGGAAATTAGAAAAATTTAAATTTAATATAATTAATACAAAAAAAAACAAAAAAAAACCAAGACCGTGAACACTCATAGTTGTAAACAAATTGTTGACGCGAGTAATTTTATATGTAAACAGCGTAGAAAGAATCTTTATATTCATAATTATATGTTGCTTAAGATGTTAAACAGAGATTAGGAATATTTCATTGACAAAATTAAAAATATATTCAAGAAATATTTATGAATAAAATTGAATAAAATTCACAATCAAAACAACACAAAAGAATTTTAATATAATTTTGGTAATAAGATATTCTTTGACATTAGTTGTCCCTGGCCGCAGCCGCAAACCCTCTGTTCTTGAAGTAATTACCAATTAGAAGGTAAATTAAAACTGCAATTGTAATTAATTTTGCCAAAACAAAAAAAAAAATACATCACTCCAAAGACTAAATTTACAGCAATAAAAGCCGTTTGAGCAAATTTAAATAATTTTATTTACTTAAAAATTTGATACGAAGATTCCCCAAACCGGCTGTTTTGCTCATCGTCAAATGTGCACACATAAAATTAGCATAAATTAAAATTGGTTATTTTGGATTTTTTTAAATTGTCACATTACTGCTCTATTACGTACTTAAACGCCGAAAAATGTTATTAGCAAGGGCCTTTTATAAAGAATAATTAATTTATGTAAAATTCCACGAAATTTTCATATAAAAAGTCCCACTTAAATTGATATGCAAATGATGTGGCAGCATTAATTAGACTTGTTTTGCGCTCCGTTTCTGCGCTGTACTGTACTCTTTGCAGAGCAAAATTTGCCCGCGCCGTATGGGCTGTGCTCTGCACTTCGCGAAAAGTAACTTGTTTATTTTTTATTTCTTATTTCGCACACAATTTCGCATTATTATATGCAAATTTCAACAAAACAAACAATAGCCAAACATCATATTAATCATATTTTCTAATTCATATGTAAACACCTTTTGCACACACAAATAAAAAGTTGACACAAAAAAACACCGTAAAATTGTCTATCGTTTTCGTTCATTTAATCCACTTTCACTGTTATCAATCCCTCTGTCGGCTCTTAACTGTCACACGATAATCATTCTGCATGTGCAGAATAACGAAATCGATGCAACCACATCACTTCACAAAAGACTTTTGATTAAACGACATTTATTTAATTATATTTGTCAGTCTCGAACAATATGGAAAACATTTTTAATAGATTTAAAATCTTGCATTTGTTACTTAATATTACCTTATTTTCGTAAACACAAATATCTCAATGAAAAATTCAATATGTTCTTGAAACCAAAATAAACTTATTCACGATCTCAAATGTGCGGAGCGGACTAGACGACATATACGCGACCAATCACAATTGACTACTGATTTCAAAACAAAAATATTTTTATCACTATTGTCAAACAGCACAAAAATCTGGTACAGGGTTGTTTAAGAAGTGAGCGTTGGATTGAAACCGCAATGCTCAGCTACGATTTGAAGTAAATACAACAAATATAATAATAAATGCCAAGGGACTATGAAGAAATTGTATGTACGTGTGTGAGCATTTTTATAAATATTAAATATCAACAAATTTAAATAGTTTATAATGTGAAGTTAATTATACAACAACTAAATTGAAAAACTACTTGAAAAACTTTTATTGTTTTACTCTAATTAAATTTTATTTACATATATTAATACTATGTACAGACAGCCAAATTTCCTTTATTTCGAAAGTGTTAAATTTTAGTATGAAATTAATTTATCAGGCGTCATAATTTTTCCATTGAATTTCTTCAACCGGCTAAATTTCCTATCGACCTACTTCATAAAACAAGAGAAAAGCCTCCTCAATTCCTGATTTCATATCTGAACGACATCGTCCGCATTTCTTCTGTAATATCGCCTTTTCCTCCACTCCCCACCTGTTTCCAAGTTTGGTTTACATATATTTACTGTCCAAATATCAAACTTTCTTAGAATGTCTGGGTTCAAGTTTTATACTGAAAAAAAATATCATCGCCAGGTATTCAAATTTATATTGGCGATGTTAATAATAAAATTTCTCATAGCCCAAGATATATGAATAAAAAATAAATGTAAAAAGGTGCATTTCGGTTAATTCCAGTTTTACTTTAATATAAACTCTACTTTGAGTCTATGCTTACTTCAATACCTATGGATTTAAGTTTTGTCCTACAAGTTAAGATGAGTTTCTCTTGCTAAATATCAATCTTATATGGCGTTTACACTGGTCGAAAATAGCTCATTTTGAATGAGCCCTATTTACATTCATTGTATTTCATTTGTTCTCATTTCAATCAGCTGATTTTTCAACTTGCTAAAAAAAATGTTGCATGAAGGTTAAATATGCCTTCAAACCTTACGATATGAACTTAAAACATATTTTTAACTTCGATTAATTACTTTTTGGGAAGTAGAAGTTCTAAAAAGAGTTGCATCGTTTTCAAGAAAATCCAATTACCAAATATTTGTTTACCGTTTTTTGTAAATATATCAAAAACAGCTTTCTCAAACTGTCAAAATGCATTGAACAGCTTTTATTTGGGGTATATTGAATGTATTCCTTTGTATTTGGAACATATTTGGAATGCATTCAAACTACGTTGGGACGCATTCATACAGAATGTGCTGAAGTGGATCGCATTCGCACTTGAAATTTTATATGCCAGAATGAGCCATTTGCTTCTCATTTTTTTTTGCCTATAATGAGCCATTTTTGGCCAATATAAATGCCGTATTATTGAGTTTGTTTATCAGTCCATACATATTGGAGTACGATTTTTCCAATTGGCTTAAATATTAGCGTTTATAACTTATGTTCTTATTGATTGTCGATTATTAATGTAACTTTAAAAATTACAAATGTATCATAGCGTAAACTCGATTAATTTCTAAACGGTTTTCTTGATTTGTACATACTAGATGTGACTTTTAATGAAAATTAAAATATATACAAACTTTCGCTCTCTATATATTCCGTTTACCAACACTGTCAAACAGCTGACATTTTTAGCGTCAAATGCAAGTTCACTGGTACATTTTTTAGCTAATGTGTTAAGTGAATTTTTAATAATAATAATTTAAATAATGTCCGCACATGGTGTTACAAAAATTAATCAAAAAGAATATTTGAAGAAATATTTATCGGGCGAGAAAACAAAAAAGAAAAAAAAGGATAAAAAACACAAGGTAAAACATGGCGTTAGCGTGAAAATCATTGATGATGATGTTGGCGCTTCAGGAAGTGGTATTAAAATTGACGAGGAACTGTTACTAACAGGAGAAGATGCACCGCAAATTGTGGGTGAATACGTTGAGGAGCGCACGGATGAAGGTAAAAGTAAATGGCGAAGTATAGCAGTAAAGGAGGAAAAGGATGTTGATAAACAAGCAAGAAATAAAACCGATGATGACAAATGGGGAATTAAGTCGAGAAATATTAAAACAGAAATAAAAGCAGAACCTTTATCACCTATAAGGAATAAAGGTAAAAATGCTAATGATAGAAACAGACGAAGTAAGTCTTTAGAACTATCACCACAACGCAAATGCAATTATAGGGATAAAAATGTAGAAAGACAACGTAGTAGTAACTCTGATCAGTCACCTCCGAGAAAAAAGTCATCTGATAGTCATCGCCGAAGAAATTCAAATGAACACTCATCACGCCGCCAAAATAGTGTAGCTTCAAATAGTGACCAATCTCCACCAAGAAAAAGATATGAGAGTCCAAGACGGCAAATATATGATAGTGATTATTCATCTCCAAGAAGGAGAAGAAGTTCTGATAGACTACAACGACGTGATTTACCATTGCACAAAAAAGCAGGAAGAGAACCAAATAAATCTCTTAATAGTAATCAATCGCCACCTAGACAAAGAAAAGGTAGTCTAAATAATCAACGAAGGAGTAGCAGCGATCAGTCGCCACCTAGAAATTTAAACCGAAATATAAATCGTAAGAGTGATCAATCTCCACCAAATCAAAGAAATCGTAATCCCAATAGACAATATAGAAGTGATAGCATTCCATCTCCACCTAGAAAAGGAAATCACAGTGCTCAGCAACGAAGACGTGACAGTGATCAATCACCACCAAGACGGAGAAAACATAGTCCCAATAGGCAACGTAAAAGTGATAGTGATGCATCTCCACCTAGAAAAGGAAATCAAAGTGCTCAGCAACGAAGACGTGACAGTGATCAATCACCACCAAGACGAAGAAAACATAGTCCCAATAGGCAACGTAAAAGTGATGACGATCCATCTCCACCAAGAAAAAGAAATCAAAATCCACTTCGACAACGACGTGATAATGATCAGTCACCACCAAGAAGAAGAGATTATAGTCCAGATAAACTATATAAAAATGATGGTATGCAATCCACAAAAAATTTAAGAAGCCCTCAACGACAGACACGGGACAATAATCAATCTTCGCCAAGAAGGCGAAAAGTTAGTCCCGGTAAACGTAGTAGTGATAGTGACCAATCTCCACCTAGAAAAATAAAGAGTCCTCAACGACAAAGGCGTGACAGTGACCAATCACCACCAAGAAGAAGAAATCACAGTCCTTCTAGGCAAAAATATGATAACTCAAATGATTCTTTCGCGCGCGGTAGAAATGAAGACAGTGACCAATCACCGCCACGAAGAAAAGTAGAAAATACCGCAAGAGGAAAAAGACATGATAATGACTTTTCACCAGCAAGAAGGCGATCAGAAATAAGACAACGTAGTAATTCTGCTGACCACTCGTTAAGTCGACAAAAATTAAACAAGCAATTACCATCAAGGCCAAGTCACACTCCCTCACCACCACCAACGCATAAACCCAAAGTAACAAAAACTTTAGATGGCAAGAAAGCAGGTCTACAAGATGCAAAAGCTTTGAAAAAAGAAACTGAAGAACGTCGTCGTAAGGAAGAACTTATGTATGCCAATATGTCGCATGAAGTGTCTGGACGTGACGCAGAAGTTAAAGTACGTAGTACAGGGCGACGTGGTAAACGTGCACGAGATGCTCAAGCGGAAGATCCTGAAGTTGAACGACAGAAAGCGGAAGAAAAACAAAAACTTAAAGAACAATATGAACGTTTTGGTAAAGGCCTTAAACAAATCGAGGATCATCGCCAACGCACTGAAGATCAGAAGTACGAGAGTAGTAAACCTTTAGCACGTTATGCAAACGACGAAGATTTGGATAAGTTTTTGCGTGAACAGGAACGTGTTGAGGATCCAATGTTGGAGTATATGCGTAAAAGGAAAAAGGAGCGTCAGCAAGACGACGATAAACCAAAAAGACCTATTTATGAGGGACCATATCCAGAAAATCGCTTCGGCATACGTCCCGGTCATAAGTGGGATGGCGTTGATCGCTCAAATGGTTATGAAAAGAAATGGTTTGATGTGCAAAACAGTAAACGCGCTCTACAGGATGAAGCTTACAAGTACAGCGTAGAGGACATGTGAGATGTTTGGAGGTATTAAAAAAATATATATAAATGAAATTTCCTTATATATTTTTATTTATCTTTTTATTTCAGATTTCTATTCCACCGTAGCATAACTGTTATTATGCATTATGGATTACATATTGGAATTTTAATATTAGGAAATATAAAACTAATTGTATTCTCTTATATGATAATTAAGACTAAATGGATTTAGATGAATACGTTGGATAAAATGTACATCTGTGGATATGTTTTTTCCACGCTCGTTTCTGATCAACAAAATTAAAGTGAAAAGAGAGAATCGTCACATTTAATATATTTTTTTCTGTGACTATTGAAAACATTAATTAATTAATTAATAAACTCATGAAATGTTGCAAAAGAAGTAAATTATTGTAATTATATATAGAAATATTATTTTTAAATTAATTTTTTTTCAAAATATATAAAAATTGGGAAATTAGAACCACAAAATATATTATATTTATACTTATTTCTATATATTATGTTTTAATCTTCTTCATTAGTTATATATCTTATTATTTAATATAATTTTATATACTTGTGTCATTATATTTTTTTATTTTAATTTTATTAGATTCTGTTTTATATATTGTACAAATGTTAATATATTTTTATTTGATAATATAAATAATTTGTGAATTATGCTTTAAATATCATAAATAATATAAATTACTACATAACTACATAATTTCACAATAAATAAATAATATTAAAGTAATGTATATGGTATATTGATACATCCATAATATACATTTTAATAAATTTTATAAATATTTTGTAAAAATGATATATGAGGTTTATTAAGAAATTTGTAAACTATTGCAGTATACTACAACTATATTGCAAATTTTTTATTATATACTTAAGTACATCAAGAACAATCAATGTAAAGATATGCGTTTGTCTGTCTCTAACTGCCTATGTGAAGTATATTAAAGTTTCCATTAATTCCAAACCAAAATCAATATTAATATGCTATAGCTACTTTGTGTTTAATTCAACTAATTTTTTCCTGTTTATTTTAAAGAAGTAATATATACATATATAAATTAACTAAAATAATATTAAATAGAATTTGTTTTATAAATGTGTTTATTATTTAATATAAACATATAGCATATTACAAATATATATGTGAATAAACATATATTCTCTTCTTATAACATATATATAACAATATTCTTGATATTTTAATAATACGCATACATTAGGTTCTTCTATTTTAATTTTGTTTTTAAAGCAAATAAAATCAAGAATTTAATAAAAATAATTATGTATATTAATAATTATTATTTCTTATTTACATTATTATTTCTAGAGTATTTACATATATACCACATGTCCTCTTTTTCATATTTAAGGTTAACATTATACTATTAATTCTTTTAAAAATAATAATTAATATTTTAAATAATATAAAAGATAATATTTTATTTTTTAATTGTAAATAAAATAAAATTGATAAATGTAAAACATTTCTTCATATATCTGTATATTATATATTATTATACTCATTATTTTTAGAATATTGCATTAGAAAACCTTTTCTGTTAACGAATTCTGTTTCTAAGTTTCTAAGTTCTAAGTGAGATGAAGTAATTTGAGTTTGGCAAAATAAAATGTATAAATACTTTATTATGAAAAAAAATCAATAAAGAATTTAATTTAATAAATAATGATATTTTGTAAAATTTAATGTAGCCATAAATACTAAATTTTAAATTCAATAAATGTTCTATAATTTATAATTTATACGTAATCTATTCATAATTAATAATTTATACATGTATAAATAAAATGAATTAAATACAACTATTCATATAAAAAAAATTATGAAACTTACTAATGAAATGAATATATAACTAATTAAAACAATTGAGTATTTGGATATCGAATATATGATAATAGCGTGAAAAAAAAATTGATCAATAAATACATTATTTATAGGTTAATATTATTTCATAAATAGAAATAATTTATTAATACATTATAAAAATATTTTTTTTTTTTTTTGAAATAAAAATAGTAATTTATTAATTTTTTCTATTAGTTTGGTAAATAAAGATTTACAAAATTGAGTTTAAAATTAAATAAATTTATTGTGTAAAATTAAATATTCACAAAGTTGTGTATCGATATCTTTTTAAATTAGTATTAATAATTTTTTAATAGCGCTCGATTCTTTTAAGTGACTACTTATAACGTTGAATTTGAGAAGTTTACGTCTGAATCTTAGAGATCGGAGTAAAACTACAAAAAAGTTCCAGGTATTAGATTAATAAATGTTATAATTAGATATCAGGGCCTTGAAGTAGCTCTAAATTAAATCCAAATTTTGTTTCTGTGGTAACCCGTGGTAACAAAAATGTGAGAGGCGATTGTTTGGGAAACGAGAGTGTATTGGGGACTAGTAGGCTTTTAATTGAAACTAACTTGGGTCAAAACGGTAAAACCTAAGCACTGAACTATACCAACTGGAACGTTAAACGTCTTCAATGTGGTGAAGGCGAAACACGAACGAATCGTAAGATTCAGTGGTTTACTGGTAAGCCAAATACACCGACACATAAAAATAAGCTATAATAAGTGCAATAAAGTTGGTTATGGCTATGAATGTCTATTAAAAATCCAAACGAATAACTTGGCTACTTTGTCTCAAAAGTGATATTTAATAAACTAGGACATGCAATATGAAATATCTCTTGATAAATTTCGACATCGCAGTCTTCATTGACGGTTAGTAGAGATGGCGTAGATATACATTAAAAGAGATATATAAAACATTAAAAAAGTTTGGATGTTTTATCTACTGATCTATTGTCTTTCAGGTGCAATAGATTGCAATGAGGTATAAACGCTACTAATCACAGACTATTTTATCTGGCAAGCTTTAAATTGGAATATTGTAGAAAAAGCTTAATCAGACTGAGTAAATTGCATATTGTTCTTATCAGGGTCAGTAGTTATCGCAGTATTGAGGGAAACGGAAAACATGATAAACTGGCAAAAAATAGACTTGGCATACAAGAAGCTTTTGCAGTCGCGATTCTCAAGCCATTGAGTATGCAAAAAGAGCTACTTAAATTAATTTGCTAAAACCGTAGATAGAAGGGCCTTGGAACTTAAGAGACAATTGGAATATTCTAGACTGTATGTAATCTTAAGCTGATGTTTTTGTTGATAGAATGAAACTAGAGGAATGTGTTTGATGTTGTTATTACTGGGTTCAGGTCTACTAATACATACTGTCATAGCTGCAACCTCATATACTATGTATATTCTACTCTTTAAAAGCAGAAATGAAATACAGTTTGTCAACATTGTGTTTGCAAAACGAAAAAATGTTACAAATGTTTGTTAAATGCCCAATAAAAACGATTTAATTTTGAAATAAAAAAAAATTAAAAAGTTTACAATTAATTTAAACATTTTTCTTTTTATTAAACTAAAAATTAATCAAAAATATCGTTAGAACAATAAAATAATTCACAAAAACAAAAATAACACCAAATTTGTTGTGTCAACATTGTGTTTGCAATTTTGCAATTTCTTATTTTTAACGGGACAGAATACCGTTAGATGTGTCTGGGTTTTTCTGTTTGTTATAATATTCTGCAAAAACTGTTCAATTTCTTTGTTATTTAATAAAGTAGAGTGTTTTAAGTGAAGGAATAACTAGAATACACGTGATTAAATATGGCCTGTAAAAGAACAAATTCAAATAATATTGAGTTATTATGTTATAATTACTACCTCGGTAAATCTGCTAAGGAATAAAGTCTAATGTTTAATATTAGGTTAAGAACAATTAATAATATCATAAACAAAACAGAAAATGAGAATTGCATTAGTTTAAAACCAGCAGGCCACCGTATTTAACCATTGTCAGATCGCCATATAAGAAGAGTATTGCGAATAATTGATAAAAATCCTTGAATTTCCTTACGATCATTGGCATTAGGTCTGGAGAAGCTATTTAATATTGTTGTTAGTCACAAGGCAATAAGAAAAGTGCTATTACAAAACATTTATTCTTCGTAAGTTGCACGTAATACACCGTTGTTATCTATTCAAAAAATTGAAAAACGATTTCAGTTTGCTAGCACACATTTAAAATATGTTTCAGAGTACTAAGATGATGTGATTTTCTGGGACATTATGCTTTATTATCATGTTTGTGTGGGTCATGCATTATAATAAAGCTTGATTTCCACTTCGTCCCAAGAAATCACATCATCTTAGTACTCTGAAACATATTTTAAATGTGTGCTAGCAAACTGAAATCATTTTTCATTTTTTTGAACAATTAACGACGGTGTATTACGTGCAACTTACGAAGAATAAATGTTTTGTAATAGCACTTTTCTTATTGCCTTGTGACTAACAACAATATTAAATAGCTTCTCCAGACCTAATGCCAATGATCGTAAGGAAATTCAAGGATTTTTATCAATTATTCGCAATACTCTTCTTATATGGCGATCAGACAATGGTTTAATACGGTGGCCTGCTGGTTTTAAACTAATGCAATCCTCATTTTCTGTTTTGTTTATGATATTATTAATTGTTCTTAACCTAATATTAAACATTAGACTTTATTCCTTAGCAGATTTACCGAGGTAGTAATTATAACATAATAACTCAATATTATTTGAATTTGTTCTTTTACAGGCCATATTTAATCACGTGTATTCTAGTTATTCCTTCACTTAAAACACTCTACTTTATTAAATAACAAAGAAATTGAACAGTTTTTGCAGAATATTATAACAAACAGAAAAACCCAGACACATCTAACGGTATTCTGTCCCGTTAAAAATAAGAAATTGCAAAATTGCAAACACAATGTTGACACAACAAATTTGGTGTTATTTTTGTTTTTGTGAATTATTTTATTGTTCTAACGATATTTTTGATTAATTTTTAGTTTAATAAAAAGAAAAATGTTTAAATTAATTGTAAACTTTTTAATTTTTTTTTATTTCAAAATTAAATCGTTTTTATTGGGCATTTAACAAACATTTGTAACATTTTTTCGTTTTGCAAACACAATGTTGACAAACTGTACATGAAATATATCATTATTCAATAATCTTTGGGCGCTAGCCGAAGTTAATATAAACAGTTAACCAAAATTCTTGAACCGTACGGACTAACGGAATAGGTCACAATTTGCACCAACCGTACTTTTTCCAATTTATAGAGAATGGTTGCAGGATGTTATATTACATGCATTTCAAATTTAAAAATATTTATAGTTGATGATACTATAACAAAATGAAGAAACCAAATATTGGTTTTATTAATAATATCTATTTATTATAACTGTTATTACTGGCTTCAATTTTGTATGAATGAAATATTACGCTTCTTGCTGCATTTTTGTCGAAATAATTGCGATAGTGTAAACGCGATTGCAAGCCATAAATGTAGGCAATTAACTGTTGTAAGCAAAGTAGAGCTGTCAAAAACTTGTATTGCTTCCACTTTACCTTACCGAAGAGATACTTTATGAACAGATATTTAATAACTACAATGCTATTTACTATTCAACAAATACACTATTATTGTTCATATTTTTGTTTATTTGAGTTATATTGAACCAAACAAGTTTCGAAAACTCATTCCTCTTTTCTCCTAACGCCTCCTTTGTGAGGAAGCAGTATTTTTAAAACTTTTGGTGCGGTCTGTTTTTCAGTTTCAATTCCACTTCGTTCCATACAAAAAGAAATGTCAAAATTTTATTCAGCTGGACATTGTGCGAATGTTTGCGTTGTTTATCAACTGAAATGGTGTGTGCATTTATTTATAAATTAACCGGATTTTTCAAATAAGCTGTTTAAACAAACTTTAATTACACAGGAATCGAAAAAGGCACGGTACATCTGGGGAGAAACTGAGGAAAAGCTATTGCTGGATGTATGGGAGAAGAAACTGCCTGACTTGAAGAAGACATACCGGAATGGCAATGTCCTTGTGGAAATAACAAGAATACTAGCAAGCAAAGGTGTTTTTGCAGATTCAACTGAAATTAATAATAAAATCAAAAATTTAACTGCCAAATACAGGTATTTATTTCAAACACAATTTCCAATTATGCGTTTATAACAGTATAAGCTTTTTTGTAGATCTGAAAAGAAAATAATGGATTTGAATGGTGGAGCACCGTCGACATTTAAACACTTCAACAGAGTGCATAGCATAATTGAGTCGCAACCATGCAACAATCTTACACCCAATAATGAAAGTTTTAATTTTGTAAGTTTAAGTAAAAATGGTTTCATTTATGGGATGACTTTTTGTAGATTTTTGCATTTGCAGTAAATTGGCAACTAAATACCCAACGCATAATTAAGCAACAATATTTAGCTACTTTAGTCAACAACTGCATGAGCAGAATGCAGAAGCAACTGGTGACAAGTAAATTTAAAATCATGACAATACCAACTTTTCCTGATTTATTACAACCTTAAATCAACTGGACTTGAACCATTGGCAGATCTTACCACACCTACTGCATTTTGTTCCTATAGCAAAGTTGAGATACAATAAGAGCAATCAACTGCTGAAGCCTAATCCCGTTGCTTAATCATGCGTTGGGCGTAAAATTGATTTGAGTTTACGTTAATCATAAAATAAATGCATACATATTTTTTTTATAAAAAAAACTTAAAACGTTCAGCTACATTTCATTTTCAAAGTCCATAAATAAAAAACTGAAGCCGGAAAAGGTTTAACAATCAATTCCTTAACTAATTCAATACAAATCATTACAGTTTTTATCTCGTACTTTTATAACTAACATTGTTGTTCTCTTCACAGCAAGATTCGATTCCAGATGAGATCCCCACGCCTTGTATATCAGATAGTATATCAGATGATATGGTATGCATATTAAATTATTAATTAACTGTATTTATTGAATACACTGTTAAATTATTTTCATTTACACAGGAAGCGAAAAAGGGGCGTCATCTTTGGACAGAATCTGACGAAGATGTGCTGTTGGATGTGTGGGAGTTTAAGTTGCCGGAACTGAAAAAAGCTAAAAGAAATAGTCGTGTCTATGGTGATATATCAAAAATGTTAGCAAGCAAAGGTGTTTTTGCGGATGCAACTGAAATCACTACAAAAATTAAAAATTTAACTTATAGATACAGGTGGTTATTAAAAACATAAATTACAATTATGCAGTTCTTAACTAAATAAACTTTTTTGTGCAGGTCTGAAAAGAAAAAGTTGGATTATAATAGCGGAGCTCCATCAGCATTTAGACACTTTTACAGAATTCATAATATAATTGAATCGTTTGAATGTAACAGCCACACATCCTCCAATGAAAGTTTTGTTTTTGTAAGTATAAGTAAAAAAAAAATTAAAAAAAATTGTGTCAAAATTATTTTCGAATGCAGATTAATCAATATCAAGAAACACAGTCGCAATCACCTCCTCTCATCTCGGAGCTGGATATATCACTACCACTTAAGTCGTCACCAGCTACAGTATCACCACCCATGTCACCACCACCTTTATCACCACCACCTTTATCAGCACCACTCATGTCACCAACAGATATAGCACTACCAGTCAAGTTATCACCTGCAATATCACCACCACCTTTGGCGCCATTAACTATATGGTTACCACATGCGTCACCAACGGCCATACTGCCAACAGCTATACCACAAACAGATATAATACCAACAGTTGTACCGCCAATATCTCTATCGCCAGCAATTAAATCGTCACCACCTCCGTCTCCACAAGCTCAAACGCCGCCGCAACTTCTGTCCCCAGCAGCTACGTCGTCTCCAACACAAACGTCGGTTGCAATAACAGCTGATAGGCGATTTAAAAAAAAGAAAAAGGAGAGGGATGTGTTGACGTTGATACATGAAGAGTTAAAAGAGGCAAACAGATTGGCAAGAGCGGAATTAGAAATGGATAAAAAATTTTTGGACATACTGCAAAAAATGTCCAACAGATGATAGTTTAATTCATTTGTAAAATTTATTGTTATTATATGCATAAGTATAAGATATAAGATCCTAGTGTTATGTTTAGACTTATATTTACGAACCTCTTTAGCCTATTCTTATATGGATTTTGTTTGGGAAATAGCACATATTGATGTCGAGTTAGGTAAAATAGACTAAACGTAACAGAAATCTGCGTATACACCAGTTAGATTTTGACAAAACTTTTTTGGGAGAATGCAAACTCGAATTTATATGTGTAAGCGAATAAGTGTATATGTCCAAAAATGCCTACAGAAGTTAGGCTAGTGTAGACGTGGAGTATAGAAGAATTGTAGAATTAGTTAATTGATTATAAATTAATTTTAGTTTTTTATATTATTTTAAGTTAATTTTATAAAAATAATTATTACAATGAAAAGTAAAATGTGTTAATTTTTTTTTACGGTCATAGTCAATGCTTTTTATACTACTTAAGATAATATTTAGAAAAAATCTTCATATCTTATATATAGCGGTGATCTGAATGTTATGGTTTGAAGTGAATCCTTAAGTAAACGATCAAGTCTGTTGTAAGAGAGTCTATAAAAACCTTTATAATGCCGTTTATGTTTTCTATTAAGTTTAATGTCTATAAAAATCTTACTTTTAAACGGTCTGAATATTTTAAATAACATATATATTTGTATAGTCAATTTTCTGTTAAAATTTTTTTTATGGTTTGATTGGTGGATTTGTTATGGATATGTCTTTATTGCAATTGATAAAACTGCAATCCTTTATTTCCTTTACACCAGTGATATTAAGATATTTTTGAAAAAGTTCTTGCCTTGTGCAAGATATCTCGTGATGGAAGGGTTCTCATAAAGAAATACGACATTATTGGTACCTAAAGCGCAACATTTTTATAAGTGAATCGGTTTCTGAATAGCATTAATAAATATAAAATAGACTATGAGTATAACAAAAGATATAAATTTAAGACTTTTTCTTAGAATATTATTGTTAGGCGATGTGGCAATCCGATCATCGGGCCTATTGTGCCCCCTTCTGGGCTTAGAGTAGGACTTTAAGACGTGTTGCGTCAATAAAAACTAGTATAGGATCTACTTTACAGAGTTTTATTGCCTCTTTCGTAAGAAGCAATAAAATTCTTTTCCATATTTCGAATACATTTCATATGCCATATTTGTTATTAAAAAGGAAGACTTATATTATTCACCAATATTTAATCGTTTTAGTAATCGTTTTCCTGTGTTTTTTATATTGTCAATTTAAAGCTCTTATTAACTAAGAAGATATTATTTTTTAGATAATATTTTTTCGTTTAATAACTATCTAATTAGTTATTGTTGTTACTAAATATATGTGATGTCTTAATCAATTTGGACAATATCAGTTATAAATTAAACAGAACAATGATAATAAGACGGTTTTTTTAGTAGAGAATTCAAATTTTAATATATTTTTATTACAAATAATTTCAAACTATATAATGCATCGACCTATTTAGTACAGATCTTTAATTTTAATATTTTTCTATTACAAATAATTCTACTTAAGCATATTTTTATATGAATAAGAATTATGTGCATAATTCAATTAAATAATTTTAAAATTGTTCGTTAGCAACTACAAGAACGCACCGATATTCCTGCAGCTCGTTTTTAAAGTACTTTACCATCACTAAGAATTATCGATAACAAAAGCAAAGAATGCTCAAAACAAAAACATAAAAACATGGTGCGCGAGTGTTAGCAGAACGTTTTTTAATGAAGCCAAACTTAAATATTCCAATAAAAATCTATAAGAAGAATTTTAATTGTTAATAGGGAAAAGAGAATAACAATAACTGTAAGTATATTAAAGTATAATATATATTATTCTATTACACATTGTGGGAAGAAATTATTAAAAAATAACATCAGAACATAGCAGATTCCTTCGTTGCTTCCCTTACCACAGGCAAGTGTATAATTCGCCATTTTATTTTATTATTAAATCAATTCAATTGGGACGGATTCTTTATTTTTTCTGGTTAAAATTTTGTTCATAAAACTACTTTAAAGTAAATTTATAATTTAATATGTATATGTATATATATAATTAATTGTTTTTTCGAAAACAACAAAACAAAGTGGAGAAAACGTGTTTTTAAAAAAAGTTGAAATTACAGATGATAAAAAAAACTAAAAAAGTTGTTTTCTTTTAAAAAGATTTACAAGATTTGGCGCGAAAATGAATTAGTGAAAAATAAGTTTTCTTTCCATTAAAATATACAGATATCGTATTTATTTTCTTTGCTGATGTCTGAAATACATATATAATAATATAAAACTAATATAAAAGTATCGTTAGGTAATAAATTTATTTTTATATAAGTATTAATTTCCATATACTTTTAAGTTTACTTATAAACTTTATGTTAATATTTTTTTTTGAATTTATACAACGAACATTCCTACAGTCAAGAGGATCTTGTTTTTTTTACATTTGTTTGTAAATTGAACTTCACCCAATTTTCTTTGACATCAGCAACAACTTGTTTACACAGTTTATGTTTTTTGCATTTTCGTATGCATTGTGTTTTGTTTTGTTTTGCTCATTATTCAGCGTGTGCCTGTGTATTTACTTTCATATCAGACTTTGTTGGTGTATGCCTTCGATAATGAAGCAGTATGAAAACATAGCAGAGTTGCCAAGTTTCAGATTTAATATTATGTGTTCTTAACTAAATGAAGATGATTGAGAGCTGCACTGCAAAATACTTGAAGCTCTTCGAAAATATGTTAATTAGTTATTAATATTTACTTTATTATAATTATATTTAATATATTTACTTTATTATGTTATTATAAAACAAAGATGCTTTATACTGATTTTAAAATTGAGCTTAAAAATGCTATAATTTTGGGCTATATGGTTATATAGTCATGTATATAGTCTATATACTTGTAGGCAGAAATAATATTTCCAAGCTTAATTTTATAAATAGTATACATCATTTTCATATTATATTGGCATATGAAAGTGAATATAACTAATTAATATACCTTCAAATATACCTACCAAATTTTCACCAATTACTTAGTAAGTTACTTAAGTAACTTCAAGATTTTGTCATTTCCATTGATTTTCATTCTTTCCCATGCAACGGATATGTTTCTATCAAAAATATTGGTGTTGACATTCAAAATTATAGATTTCTGGAAGTCTTCTTAGTTATAATCAGTTATTTTGCTATAATATTGTGTCATTCTTTTCTACTGGATTGATACTGAAGTAGAGTGGCCAAAGAAGTACATTTCCACGATCACATATAGCAATGTGGAAATGAGTTGATTTTTGAAGTACAATTTCTATTCTGCTCATCTGTAAGGAGCTTTAAATTGGAACCATACTTAGAGAAATATCTTTTTTACAAAGAGCACGTAAAATGACTAGATTTATAGCAAGTACTAATAGCACGAAGTAGTAAGAATTTCGATTGTCTGTGGAGTTCTTTTGGAGAACTTAGTGATTTTTTGGGATTTGTTAAAGTTTCTTTCATTTTATTGCTATTTGGTTATGATGCTAATTTAAATAAAATGAATAATTTTTACTACAACAATTTTAAACTATAGAAGCTGGGACCATCAATAATAATATTTATTACATTATAACATTTGGAATAATATATAAGCAATGCATAATTCTCTGCTGCTCTTATTGTAAAAGGCGACTCAGTAAATAAATTGCAAATAAAAAAAATTAATATTCTTAAGAAACTCTGAATAATAACTTATTTTGATGACATGTTAAGTGTATACCATTTGCCTACTGTTATTCACACATAGATGTCGCTACATAAACAATTTTGGGAGCATAAAGTAATTTATTTAAAATAATCATATAAAACAATACTAAACAAGGAGCTTTTTATTGGAATTTAGTTGTACTATTGCTAGAATTTATAGGAATTCACGTTCTGATTTAGTGACCCTTACTAAGCCGTTTATCACATTTGGCGAAAGCAATCTAAAAGGATATATACAAGCGGTTTTTCAAGATAATTACTATGCATAAAATTACAAGCTAAACATTTTTAAATCAGGGTTGTTAGATTCAATCTGATTAATCGTTGGCGGTTTAGACTAATTTATCGTCTATCTATGAACTTGAATAAATTTTTTATTTTTCTTTTCCTTTTTTAAAAATTTATTCTTAATTTGTTGCATTTGCTAATTACGTTATCATTTCAAAAAAAAAATTTATATTACCTGAGTCAGGTTTTTTAGTGGAAATTTATTTTATAATTTTTTAATTGTTCTTGATGACCATGAAAGCGTGCTTTCAACTTACGTTTTTACTCCACTTGAATCTTTTCGTCAACAATTTTGTGTTTGAATAAATTGTCTATGGCACAGCACGGCAAACATTTATTCATTCATTGCTTAAGATAAAAACAAATAAATATTCATTTTGAAAAAGTAAAGTGTGTAAAATTAAATGTCATTTTCCAAAATTGCTATCTTCAGTCGTCTACGAGTTAGCGAAGACTACTGCATCCGAATAAATCACAAGCGGTAGGAGCTTTAACACGATATTCAGATTGTTTAGCAAATTAATAGTCAAAGACTTCATTGGCTTGATCATAGCTTAAGAATATTCCCAGTAAAATGGTGTAGAAAAGCTTGGCATTCACTTGGATAGAAGACTGGTTTGCACCAAATATACTAAATAGAAGAATAACACAAACTAAATGGGTAATTGGGATATAGATCTCGATCGACAAAATTTGAGTTTTATAGGTTGGTAATACCACATGTGCTTCTGTATAGAGCACAAATATTGAACGCTATCACAGAATGATAAAGCATTACTATGTAAGAAGTGTTTGAGACAAAGTTCTTTGTTAGATTTTTGGTCTTCTATGAGTTAGAGAAGCAGTAAGAAATTTAGCACGATATTGAGATCATTCAGCGAATTCAGTGGCTACATTGTCTTGGCCATGTGCTAAAGATATAAAATATCTTGGCATTCACTTTGACATAACACTGACTTGCACTTAACTTATCGAAAATAAAAATAAAAAAAAACACGAACCAAATTAATATTACTGCAATTTTTCTAGTTTATTTTCAAGAATACCAAGCTAAGTTTGGAAAAAAGGTATTGATTATTAATTCTGTTATACGTAAAACCTTTCTAGTTTTATGGCAGAAATGATTGATTTTACCATACTCTTTTAACATCGGTAAAATACAGAGAGTTCAAGATAAGCTACTTAGACATACTATTTAACTGATGTGCAATGGTTATTCATTGGTGCTCGATAGTTACAGATGTAATACGTATATATTGAACAG